GCTGCCCCCTGCGCACCCCCCCCCAGCACAGCCCAGTACAAGGCTAGTCATGTTTAAGATCTGTCAGGCATGTGAGGCCTCGTATTGACAAATTCCCAGTTATGCTTTATGGTGCATATGTTGCAGTATGTGGTGCTCTGTGGGTTTAAGGGGAGTCGTGCACGGGCATAATTTTTTTCCCTTAACACATGTTGCATGGTCAGAGGCTGGAACAGGGAGTAAACCTAGATTGTCACTAGTAGCTAGCAGGTTGGGGACTTTAGTTTTTGAATACCTGTTTCTAACTACAACAATATTCACAAAACCCCCTACCCTTTTCCCACGTCTGCCTTTCAAAACCAGACAAAAAACCTTTCATTTCTCTGTCAGCAGCAGTCAGCCTGTTTCACCTGCCCTCAGCATCCCTCTCAACGTGCCAGGGCCAAAACCCATGTCTGTGGGTACATAGATAGCAACATGTTCTAGCGCACAAGAGTTGTTGCATAAAAGGATATGATCCTGCAAAGGATGATCCTGTAACTAGTTATTAACCTGAAGCTTACAGAGCCCCTTTTAACCTCCTGGCTTCTCATGGCAGCAATTTTCATCGGTCAGCTGTTCCCCCCTCCTCCCTTTCCAGCCCAAAGACATTTTACCTTTAGATGGATCACTTAGGCTGTAACATTTTTACTTGTTGATGGTTGTCAAAACCCAATAATAGAACAGGGAGTATGAGTCCTGTTCAAAATCAGTTCCCTGAGTTACTTGGTCAGCTTGGAATCGGCAGTATCACTTGCAGCCGGGGCGATCCCTGGCTGCACGGGCTTGTGCCATTACTGCAGCTTGAAGTCAAGCACGGGGCTTTGTGCATCTCTCTCGGGGGTCACATGAGATGGAGCAGACAGCAGGTCCTGCCGCGCGCCGTAGGGAAGGAATATGTTTGCAGCGGCAGTGGGCATAGTGAGATGGGAGAGAGGCTTTGACCCAATTTTGAGTTCTGGAAATATGAAATGAGTGGTTTTAAATAATGCCATCCTCTCCCCGGCACAATGCCCCTGGACTCCAAAGGGCTAAACCAACTCCCACTGATTAAAGCATTATCCCTTCCTTTAACTGCTGGGCAGATGGTGCAGCAGGCGTTAGCTTTCTTCTCGGGACCCGCAGAGGCACGCTTCTTTTGTTGACAGTTTAACGCTGTGAATGGGGCAATGTGGGAAATCCTCGGAGCTGTGGACTCGCACCATCTGATGTGAATGGTGAACCAGGCACGCTGCCGTGCAGCGAGCACACGGAACAGCAGCCCTCTGGGTTCGCAAGCTCCCAGCTTCTTTCCCCCCTTCTCTGTCAGCTGAAAAGATAGCAAACCTTCAGTTCCCCCCTTGCCTGCTTCGCCTACCCTCTGTATGCTGTTGATGCATAGAAGAGAAATAAATATCCCCCCCCTGCTTTGGGGCCTGAAAACTCAATGGCGAGAATATTTCCCAACTTCAGAATAATAAATTGTCTGGATTAAAGCTGTCCCTAGAATATATTCGTTATGGAACTGGGTGCAGTATGCGCTTTCTGCAAGAATTTAGGTAAGGAAAAAAAAAAGTCCTGTACTGTAGGCAGTACAGTTGCTCCTTGTTAGAAGTCTGTAACTAGTTTGCTCAGTTTGGGCTCTTTCAAAACTCGGCTGTTATTGCAACAGTCTGTCCCACTGGGACACGGTTGTGATCCAAATCCCTGTCACTGTCCTCCCTGTCTGTGGGAGGAGTTTGTGTCTCTCTCGGACTGTCGCTGCAGAGCCCGAATGAAAGATGGATTGTCTGAGGCTCAGAAGCAGGGGTTTCCCTGTTTTTGGAATGAAGGATTAAAAGAACAAATCCTCCAAATCGCCAAACATGTGGAGTTGACTAAATAACGTGGCACAATAATTCCCTTCTTTGGAGGGTGGTGTGGTGTCTGCTGGACCCGCTCTCGAGAGATGACAGCTATGCTGTGGACACAGAGGCTTGCTTTCTTAGAATCATAGAATGTTTAGGGTTGGAAGGGACCACTAGTGGTCATCTAGTCCAACCCCCCTGCAGTGAGCAGGGACACTGCTAACTAGATCAGGTTGCTCAGAGCCCCATCCAACCTGGTCTTGAATGTTCCCAGGGATGGGGCCTCCACTACCTCTCTGGGCAACCTGTTCCAGTGTTTTACCACCCTCATTGTAAAAAATTTCTTCCTTACCTCTAGCCTGAACCTACCCTGTTCTAGTTTAAAACCATTTCCCCTTGTCCTAACACAGCTGGCCCTACTAAAAAGACGTTCCCCATCTTTCCTATAGGCCCCCTTTAGGTACTGGAAGGCCGCAATCAGGTCTCCCTGTAACCTTCTTTTCTCCAGAAAAGTTTTCTTAGTGGCCTTGTTCCTCTGTAAATCACAGCGGTCATGAGTTGCATCTTCAAAATTACATGTGAAAACAGGGAGGTGTGTCCACTCTCACTCGGTATAGATATCAGAGAGTGTAAGGGAAACCAGAAATCTGTGGAGTTGTCAACATCCGTGCTTACAGCCCTTGCATGTCAGGCAGGAGTCCCAGCTTTTCCTAAGGCAAGACCCACCACCTTAATTCTCTCCAACTGTAGATGCTCACCATTTGACCCTGAGCTACGGTGTGCAACCTGTGGGCCATAGATTGCTTTGAGTTGAGGAACAACCACGGAAGATCCAGGAAAGGCAACTATCCAACCCCGAGACTGTCATCGGTAGGCTTGTGTTCATTGTCGTCCATAAATCAGAACAGCTGGAGGACCACTAGCCTAGGAAATTGGTAGTGGGCCATGGAGCTTTCTGCTTCTGGTTTGTAGGTGGAGATTGCAGCCCAGCTGCAGATTTATTACACAAGCTGTTTTCACGAAAGCTGCTACTGCTTGTAATACTAATTGGCAGCTTTCTTAGCCCATCGGACACTTAGCTTTCCGGGGAGGGCAACCCAGTGATTTGCAATGTAGCAACAGGTCTGGAGGAAGGTGGGCGATCAGGGCAGAGTACAGAAACCGAGAATTTCATTGTCCGTGTTATGCAGATCTAAAAGGCAGTGCTCCCGTATGTCTGGGGCTGAACTTACAGCATACAACTTGATGGCTTAAAGCTTTCCTTTCTATATCACTTTTAGAGTGTTTTTATTTTAGACCATTTCCTATGTTCATGTCAGCCTGTCTCAAATGCTATTGATGGTGTTCCTAAAGAAATAATTACGATTTTTATTTTTTCCATGCCTTCCTTAAATGGTTTAAAATCTTTCTGACAACCCCTCTCTCGACACCTATTTAGTGTCAAAGAGCATAACGTTCCCAAGTTTTAAAAGGGCTCTCGCATAATACTGATCGATCAATGTGCTCCTTGGGAAAATAGCTCTCCAGATGGTCTATCGGGACAGGAATTGCTGGTCATCACAATGCAGAGCCAAAAAGCGTCACTAATGTGGGCTGTTGTGAGGCACGCTTCCTTTGTGGTCCCTTTGAATGTCATAAATAGGGAAGAAAGTGTGGGAAACTCTGCGAAACTCAGGCCCACACTCTGAGGTTAATAGGGGCTTTGTCAGGAGAGTATTCCTGGGCTGTGGGATCAGCATAATAAACAACATCTTCCCTAAGGGTGGGAATGTGTTGGAACAGGGGAGAGTCACCCCAGGGGACAGAGGGGCAATAAGAAGCTTTGCGTTCAATTATTATAAGTGATAATAATTAATAAATTGTAAACATAACCTTTGCTGTGCTAAGACTGGTGAAACCAGAGGTCTGGCTTTTAACTCTCGCCTAATTGGTAAACTAAAGCCCAAGAGGGGCAAGGCTTTGGCTGGCGAAAACCAGAAGCGGTGCACTTGCACCAGCCACGGCTCTGACTCCCTGGAGCAAACGGAAGCTTTCTGGTGGGGTTTGGTTTGTTTTTCCCCCTGCCCAGGAAGGAGGCGCTTTTTGTTTCTCTCCCTTACACCACGCTACAAGCAGTGGGTCTGAATCGCACGTACGCTAACAGCTAAGCGTGATCGACACCCCCGCTGTAGCCAGAGTAATCAAATACAGCCGCAGTGGAAATAAGAATCAGACCTCGTGGTCTGAATGACAGATGTATGCCGATATGGGTGGTGGGAGTTGTGGGCTGAGAAGTCTGACTGCGATCTCACGTGAGTTTTGCACAGTCGTCATTTCTACGGCCTGTTCCTGCGTTAGCCTAGCACTAGAGGGACAGGGTTCAAATCCAACAGCCTTCAGTTTGTGCGGCTCTTCTTTGGTTTCCTTTTCCCTTTTCTGTTCATGCTGTCGGTTTTAAACGAACTGCAGCAATGTTGCCAACCGTGGCATTCACAGTGTGGTTTCCTTGGGTGGTAACACATTAGCTGCAGGAGACAGCCGACCACATGATAGCAGCAGGCTTCTCCGAGCCACGTGCGGCTCTGTTCCCAGTCCCTGTGGTGCACAGTCAGGCTGCGGTCTGCTTTGGGGCACATTGCATTTGGACTGAGTCGGAACTCCCCCAAACTTCCTATGTGCAAACTGCCTTAATTAGGCTTTATTTAAAAACGCACAGGCATGGGTGAACAGCTTGAATTTTGCTGGGATTCAGAAGCGTGTGCTAATTGACAAAGACAAGTTGAGCACAGCAAGGTGAAGTGACTTTTTCAAGATTGCTAAGCAACCACAAAATCTAGAAATATCTCTTCTGAATTATTTAGTAGTTTGTTAGCAAGAACAAATCTATCTGCAGCATTGGTTTCAGCCCCTGATGAATTGCAGAGCTGTACCAAAACCCCACCTTGTATTGCATCGGCAGACAGATGAAGAGCACTCAACCAGCTCACACATTCAGGGTACAGTAATAAGCAAAATGATCCATGCGACCATAATGAGGTAGAGCAATATGTCCTTGACCTGGCTAGCTGGTATTTTGGTCCTTTCCAGACGTATATCAGGGTTTAATCACAAACCAAGTGCGGACTGGCCAGGTACAGCTAGCAGTGTTTGAATGCAGTTGGACCTGGTCAGCTTAGCAGATCTGAGTTTGCTTAGTGCTTATCTAAGCAGCCATTTGACAAGATCAGATAGTCTAGGTTTCCTTTTATTTAAGGAAAAAAAGCATACGCTAGAAGTGAAGTTTTTCAAGGGCATCTCTCCCAGGGAATCTGAGGAGAGTTGAAATTGTTGGCCGATGGTGTTTCATGCTGTTACTACACCTGTGGAAGAATTAGAGGGTTCCCTGTCGTATATCCATATGAGTGTGTTACTGTGGTTAGGTAATAGTTTTGTGAACTGATTATTTGTGCAGATTTATTTTACTTTGAAGAGAAGGGCAAATTAAAAGTCAACAGTCCCCACTGAGCAATGAATGAGAACTCTTCTGAGGAAAAGTGAGTGAAATGTTATTGGGGACAGCGCTTTGGAGAGATTATTGGTATTTAAGGTGCTCAAGGGTGGGTTTAGTATCCCCTTCTTGTGCTTTTCTTCCTCCTTCCCCAAATAAGTTCTGAATCCCCTTTTGCATGTTCACCTCATCCATTCCCTCTTTGCGTAGCCATGTGGGAGAAGGACAAGCCCATCCTTTATGGCCGGTGCTGGTCTTCCTCACATCACCCGAGTGCAGCCGAGTTAATCCTCAGGGGCTGGGAATTGTGTGGCCCGTACACAGAGAATTGTTGAAAAGTCTCACAGGGCTGGAGCTGAGACTACGCCCGGCTGCCGCAGTGCCCCTCTCTGCAGCTCCCGGGAAGCCCGGGCTGCTGGCTTTGGGTCACCCCGCTGGTGCGAGCCAGGTAGGCCGGTGGCTGTAAGCCTCCGTGTAAGAGGATAAGCATATCCTCTTTGGTTTGTTTTCTGAATTGAGGTGGGGTGAAAAAATGAAGGGAGGATCGTCTGAAAGATACTTGGCCGAGAGACCGTCTCTACAATAGGCTGGATAGAAAAAAAACTCGGAAGCCTGGTGGAGCGTGGCGGTTTCTCAGCTCCGAGGCATAGGCCCTATTCATGGCGTGTTTTGGACCCTTATGTGGAGGTTGGAGAAAGAGAATAAAATGTTTGAAGAAGAGCATGGGGAAATAATTTAGGAGAGGAAATGCTTTTTCAATCTCTGCTATACAATTCTGTATACTTTTAGCCACATACAGGCAGATTTCACTTCAGCAAGGAAAGCAATTCTGTTATTGCCTAGCAGAATTCGTGTTTAGGTAACAGAAGGCGCTAAAGTTAAAAGACATCAAAAACTAGCTCACCCCATGGCGGGTAGTTTCAAAGAGGGAAGGGTAAGATCCCCAGGCAGAGTCAGGTGCCAAACTTTTTGGAAGTTATTAGGAGTTTTGCATGTTGCTACCTCTTAAATGGACAGAAAGTATAAGACTGAACTCAGGTTGGCGGGTAAATTCATGGGGAATGGGGTGGGAAATAAACTGTGAAATCAGTGATTTGCTGAAGTCTAAATAGGTTGCTGTTACTCTGGGTTTACACTTCTCAGTATCTCACTTAAATTTCACCTCCATTTAAATTTTTGATAACTTTTGCAGAGGTTGCTTCTCTGCAGGATCTGAAATCCTGTTCTGCCAAATGGATTTCACAGATACAAGCTATGTGCTGGAATGAAGGGCTCAGAAATATGAAATCTCCTGATAGATCCCCCCTGCAGGAGTCCACATCCAAGGCTTAACCCAGGAGTATTAGCCATTTTAATCATTTCAAACCAAAGGATTAATGACTAAAACCTTTTTTATTGTATTGTACAGTGAAGACACCAAAGTTGAACATCACACAGGATGAATACATCACAACTTTATAAAAGCTTTTTAAGCTCTTTAGCATGTTCAGTGAATGATTATACAGTACTTATTGCCTCCCTCCCTCTCCCTTTTCCTTAAGATATATCACAGGCATTTCCTTTACAAAAGGCATCAATTACCCCTCAGCTGAGAGTAGCATGTACTGACATTAAGAGAATTTTCCCCAGAGCTATCTGTTATCATCATAACTTTCTGTAAGAAGGTGTACTAAAAATGGCATAGGAACTTCAGAAGAATCAGCTTTTCTTAATAACGACTTTCACTCAAAAGGTAAAGGCTCAATACTCTCTTTATGATACAAAATACATTCTTCACAGGCCTCCTTCTCTAGGAAGGTCAATACATTATCTAGAGACAATGGAGCACTTGAACCAGTGACCCGGGGAGTCAGCGGGAAGATTTCCACTGACAGCCACAGGCTCAGCAGCCCGGCCGAGCAAACGTGAGATGGAAGCTGAATGGCGTTTGGCTCTCTCAATCACCGCAGAACTTGCTCCTCTCTTTGGCTGGGAGCCACCAATAAAAGCAGCAAATTTGCTGCAAGATACAAACACATTCCTTCACTATGAAGGGAAACTGCTCAGCAACCCTCATTCCTTGTGACAGAAAAACAGTAACTGCCCCCCTCCCACCTTTGGAAAGCAACGTTTCCTACTTTAAAGAGGAACTATTAAATCACAGGTCCCTCTAGTTTTTGTAACAAAACATAGGAATAA